CTCTTGCCATGCTGTGCCTGGCTTGCCCACTCCCTCTGAAGCACTTTCATCTCGAAGGGCCTGGATAATTATTGCTGGCTCCTTGTATGACCTTAAGCAAGTCTTATCCTTTCCAAAAGGCTCCAGTTATCCTTTCTGTGAAATGTGGGGATTTGACTATCTGGTCATCAAGGTCTCCTCCAGGACTGATCCTGACTTGCAAGCTTCCCGCACTGTACCCATTTGGTATTCACCTCTGACTCCGCTCCAGCCGTCCAGTGTCCATTCTCTCCCATCCCTGGTCAGTCACTCCTGTTTCCTGACTCCCAGCTTGGTGTTCTTTCCCTTCCATCACATTGCTTCTGTTACTCCATCAAAACAGTTAAAGAAGAAGCACCCTGGTCCTCAGAGAACTCAGAGTCTAGCCGGGGAGCTAAGAAGACACCAAAGCTTGGACATTTGGCACCTTTAGTGCCTAGAACAGAGCCTGGTCACAACAGATGATTTGTAATGTTCAGTGACAGAATGAGATAAATCTGGCTTGTAAAACCTCTAAACTGGAAGAGACCTCAGTGGTCTTTTTGTATGTGCCGTGCCCTCTGCCTGGAAGCCTCCCACGCCAGCATCCACTTCACATGGTCCACGGTAGGGCTAAGACCTGATGGTAGAAGGGAGAGCATCTCTCCCTGTGGGGAAGACTCCATGTTCTAAATTCTTTAGGCTTTGCCTTTTTCCCACTCAACAAAGTCTGACTTCAAAACCTGGTTGCTTTCTTTTTAAAAAAATTTTGCATTTTAGATTCAAGAGGTACACGTGTATGTGTTACATGAGCATACTGCATATGGTGGGGATTGGGTCTCCGGTGGCCCATTCCCCAGAGAGTGAATATTGTGCCCCATAGGTAGTTTGTGAACCCTAGCTCCCCTACTCCCATAAGGGGGTATCCCCAGTGTCTATTATTTCCATTCTTGTGACCATTTAGCTCCTACATATGAGCGAGAACATGTGGTGTTTGGTTTTCTGTTCTGAGTTCACTTGGGATGATGACCTCTAGCTCCATTCATGTTGCTGCAAAGGACATGAGTTCATTCTTTTTTATCTTGCTAAAATTCTTAATTTGATTTCCCAGAAGCAGCACATGAAACTAGGTACCAGTAGGCTATCTGAAAGGAGAGCCCAGGAACCACCATCGGGGAAGTGGAGATATGAGATAGGGAAGAGAAGGAAAAAATACAGGGTGTGTTAATGGACATATTATGCAGAACCTCTGAGAGATCGTTTAGAACAAGCTCTGAGTTGTCCAACTTCAGGGTGAGCAACTGACCGTGCTGTTTGTCAGTGGTTCAGGGCTGGTCCCAGATGCGTTAACTTCCAGCACTTCCCTAGCCTATGCAGTGGGCTGACCATTTTTCTACAGTCAGAGAAAGTCCTCAGCAGAGAGTTACAGGGGCTTTCAGCAGGAAGTCATGGCAAATATGACTAGTGAGTTCCTGGGAATGTAGACAAAACACCGACAGCCTCTGTTCCAGTAGTCCAATGCCCATTCTCTCCTGTTCCTTGTCTGTAAACCTCACAGCTCTGCCTCAGAGGCAAGAGGCTAAAAACAAATAGATTTGTAAGGGGAAATTAAATATATAGGGTTGATATTTGCAAATGAGTAGATGGTATCTCTGTTTTATGGACATTCGTTGTACCCGTTTTTACTTTTGCATATGCTGTCCCTCTACCTTGTATGACTTCTCCTAGAAAACTCCCTTTCATTCTTCAAAGTCCACCTCAATTATTTTTTTTTCCTGTTATGCCCTTTCCTGATTACCCTGGTAGTTAATTGCTCTCTGCTCTGACAGCATGTTATGCTACATCTAAAATAACATTATTAGGTAGTATCAAGCCCCCTATGTGTTCCTCTCACCTGCTACTAATAGTAGTAATAATAGCTAATACTTATTAATTGCTTTAGTTATGTGCCAGACAATGTTTTAAACACTTTATTTGAATTAGCTCATTTAATCCTCTCAAACAACCCTATGAAGTAGCTGTAATTACTATCTCTACTTTATGGATGAAAAAAATAAGACAGAGAAGTTAAAAAAAAATTTCTAATATCATATAGGTAGCAGATGACAGAACTGGGATTTGGTTCCAGAAGGTCAGTCTTCCAAACCCCTGCTCTTAACCACTGCACAGAACAGCAGTGGTTCTATGGCTTTTTCTATGGTTTTTTGCCAGAGTAGAGAGCCCAAGGACTAAACCTCGAGGATATTTCTAGCAGTTTCCATAGGGTCTCATGCCAAGCTAGAAAACATGGTCTTAGAGAGTCTTTAAAAGGTAGAATATAAGATTTGCATTTTAAAAAGATAATACTTACTGTAGTGCATAGGGTGAATTGGAAGAGGAGAGACTAGGAAGAGTGATAAATGTCAAGGGGATGTTGAAATGATCCAGGTAAGATGAAGTCCCAAGTTTGGCAGGGAACCTCCCCCCTAAGCTAACACCTGCTTACCTCCCAGTCACTGTACCAATCAGCTCCCCACATGTAGGGTTACCACTCAAGGATGTGCAGGTGGTACCCTGCACAAATGCCCCTGGCCACTGGGGGCTGAGGTCTGACTGCCACTGACAGCCCCTTAGTCAGGAGTTGCATCTGGCAAGAAGGAAGAGTACCTTTTGCTCACTTCCCCAAACAAACCATAGGACTAGCACTGGCCTTGCCCCTGTGCACCCTCCACTTCAGACATTTTCAACTCTTTTAGTTATATCATGATTTTTCTACCTCTGTGTTTTTAATATTTGGTGTCCTCTCCTAGGGATGCTCTTTCACTCACTCATTCACTCATCTTATTCATACAACAGTTTTTCTTGTACCTACCTTGTGCCTGGTAATTTTTTGGTGAAGGGGATTCAGTGAGAAGCTCACAATTTAGGAGAGGAGGTGCAACTAATGAGATAATTATACAAATATAGCAGTATATACTGACACATGCTTTGAAGGGAGCATGAGACTGTGTGTTGGGTGCTGGGAGCTTATCTGCTCTGGGATGCAGTTGGCCATGCTTAGATCATGACTGGGACAATAAGGCTTCCCTTAGGATGTGACTTTTGAGTGGAAATGTGAAGAACAAGTAGGAATTAACCAGGTAGAAGGGTAGGAAGGGGAGTGGCCACCCTTCCTGCAGTCCTACTATATTCAACAGCACACTCGTGAATCCTTGGGTCAGACAAGACAGGTCTGGAGTCCAGTAGAGGCCCAGCATAATAAAGTAGGAGGACGAAACTGAGGAGGAGGCCAAAAGTGGAGGAATGGAGGGACATCCCCCAAATCTGCAGGGAGAGAGGGGACTGAGAGCTGGGCAGGAGGCAGGAGGCAGAAGGCAGGCGGCAAGAGGTAGGAGATTGAGGAGAGCTCTGATAAAATTCTCGTCGCAGGCTGCTGAGGAACTCCTAAAAATAGGATGCTCAATACCCAATTTTAGACTGTACTTCTGTAGTTTAAAATTCTCCTTCTCCCCAAACCTTCAGTCTATCTCTCACAGATACATGTATGAATGGTTTAGGGAGAAATCGGGGGAAAAGCTGAGTTCTCAGTGAAGATCAAAGGGGGGAAAAATGGAGAGGGTAGAGTCACGTGAGGTGAGACACAAGTGGGTTCAAAAGGTCAGAGAACACAAAAACTTAGAGACAGCAGCGACAGGAAGTACTCGTAGAATCAGTGGTGTCTACACCTCAAAGAAATAGATTTTTTTTTTTGTATCCAGTTGTAATTAGTGATCAGTGTTAATTGATGAGATGGGGCAGCCTAGGCAGGGAGATATAAAGAAGTCATACTATCTCTTCATGTCTGTCAGTGGGCTGGGACTTTGGTCTCATTCCAGATGTCTGAGAATCCCTTGTTTAAACTCAAATTAAGGAGACTCCTCCCACTAGCTGACTCCCCAAGTCACCAACCAGATAACCAAGCACAAAGCTCACCAGGACCTTGGAGAACTTATTAATTCAATAAACATTTATTGAATGGCTGTTATTTTCTGGGTACAAAGTCACTTGGGACATGGTCCTTGGTCCCTGCCCCTTAGAGGCCTCCTTCTAGAAAGGAAGACAACCCCATGGTTAGGTGTGATCAGTGTTGTGACAGAAGCAGGTTCAGGGTCTCTGGGAGCAGGAGAGGGACCTTGACACACTTTGGGCCATTAAGACAGCTTCTTGGGGAAAGGACACTTAATGAGGTCATGGTGTATTCCAGGGTAGGCAGGTGCATGGCTGGCAAAGGGAGGACAGAGTCCCAGGTGCAGTGGTATGTAGACTGTCCGTGTTGCCCCCTGCAGGACTTACCCTTAACTACAGAGTAGCATGTCTTGATTTCTCTTGTTTTCGACAAGTCACATCTTTTCAGCTGAACTCTAAGCTCCTCAAGGTCATGGAGACTTTGTGTATATTTGGGTTTGAGAGTAGAAAGAGGCAGCATGTAAATAGTGCTTAGGAGAGGTCCTCATCCAGGAGCCCAAAATACCATCTGTCACTGGGCTTACATTCCACCCTTGGCCCCTCACCCCCTTGGGTCTGACAGCCACTATTATGGAGCCATCAATGGAATATAGGGCCCTCCTGGGCAAATACATGCTACAAATAGATTGGGGGTTGAGAATAGAGAGGTGGGGGGACCTGAAGTGGGAAGAGGAAAGAGGATATAGGGAAGCAGTGTTACACTTGGACTTTTTCCAGATATTCTTGTATCATCTAACTTTCCTGACCTCAAAACACAATACAGTAAAGGTTTATGAATATACTCAAGAAGAGAGCAGAAACAGTGTCTTTGGGGTAGGAATATAAGGCAAAGTATTGGAAAGAGCCGTGGAGTGGGGAGACCAGAGTAAGTCCTGCTGGGTCTCATCCAGTGCTCTCTCTGGGCCGCCGTTTCTCCAATCATCAAGTGGAGAATGCTCTTCAGTGGCTCTTGCCATCTTGGCCACTGTGGTCTCCAGTTCAGACAGTAAGATGGGAAGAGAGCCTGTTTCTATGGCTGGCAGGCTTGGGCTGTGTGTAATTGTCTCCATTGAAGCCTGGTCTGTGGGGTCACGCAAAATAGCCCCAGAGGAAGACATTGATGGCCAGCAAGAGGACAGCATTGATGTTGCAGACACTTCTCCAGAGTGGCTCCTCCTCGATGCTGGTCAGCTTCTGTTCTAGAACAGCCTTTTCTGCCGGGCTCAAGGCCTGCTCTGGGGCCCCAGAGAGTCCACAGAACCAGCCCCAGAGCTGCTTTCCCCAGAACCTGCATGAGGCTGGAGGGATAAAATCAAAAAGAGGAGGGGAGAGGCAAGGAGAGGTTGGAAAAGGGAAAGTGATGGGAGTGTGAGGGAGGGAGAAAGGGGGTGAGAAACTAAAGAAAGGGATGGGAATGCACAGAAAGCAGGGGATGGTGGAGCCATTGACTTGACCTTTTCTGTGGACCGCTGCCTGGGTGCTGAGCTGGGGCTCTAGACTAAGCTCTGCCCTTGGCCACAGCATGCAATGGTCATGGGGCAGAAGCATCTCATTGTTGCAGAGAGCTTGGTGTGTTAAGGAGGGAAGATGATGCAATTCATCCCAATTCAGAGCACAAGTTCTGACTAGGCAAGGAACATTATCTCAACCAGGAAGAGGGGAGCATTTGAACCAGACTGATGCAGAACCTTCAATTGGGAAGGGGAAGGGGCTGCAAGCCAAGAACTTGGCATTCCAGGGTCAGCTCTACCATTGGTTACTATGCAGACAGATCACCCAGCTTCCCTGAGCTGCAGGTTATTTCTGTCTCAAATGGGTCAATGACATATGCCCTTTTCTTCTCTGTGTTATTTTGCGCATCAAATGAGAATGGAGATTTGAGAGCACTTAAAAAAGTTGCCAGCACTAGGGCAGTGGGAGAGGTTCTCGTGCCTTAGATGTTCTAAACGCAAGTGATACCAAGTCCATGCAGACACAGACTCCTCAGTGCGGGAAAAGGGTGCTATCTGGGATTAAAGGGAACACAATTCACTAAAAACGAAACCTAAAAGAAATAATATGGTAAATATTTTTAAAGTTTATGAAATTAGCAGATAGCATATTAAAAACAAGGTCAATATAAAAAGGTTTTCATTGAGATGGAAAAGAATGCACTGTGAATGAAAGCTTTATTATCTGAATGGCTTTGGAACCACAGAGCATCAGAGATGCAGGCACACTGGGTACCATCTGGTCTGGCTCCCTCAATGCACAAAGGAGAAAAAAGGCACAGGAAAGGGGAGAGACTTGTTTAAGGTCATGAAGCTGCAGAGCTGCACTAATAACAATAATATGAATGCCGTCTTTTGCTTGTACTAGCCTTTATCATTTTCCAAGGAATGAACTTTTGCCTATAATAGCACCAGTCTTTCCTGCCCTTTCCCTTCCTGACCGCAGTGGTTTGGAGGGGAAGGGATGTTGGGTTTCTCTCATTGAACATCTTGGCTGACTCAGTGACTCCTTTCTCTGTTTTGAGAGCAAGTCATCCAACAGAAAGTAGGTTTTCTTTCTTCTTCTGCAGAGATGATTCTGCCCCTTGTATGGGGGCCAATCAGGGAGTAGGTCTGTCTGTATAATGCTGTGTAAGTCTGACTAGTTCTGGGCTTCAGCCCTGGGGAGGTACAAGCTGTCTGCTTCCTCTTTCCCTTTGGGAATTACCTCTGCGGCTTTTCCTCTTTCTTTCCTCCCTCTCTTGGTAGCTGCCTTGCCTACCAAGACCATGTGCTCTCAGGTTGCTGTCTTTGATGCCACAAGTTTTACAGGAGCCAGGACCAGGTCTTTGCAATGATAGTGGTGGTGGGAAGCAGTTTTAAGACCCCAGCATCTGGTACATGAACATAAAGCTTGAAAAAGAGACAATGAGGTGCATTTTGTTTTTTGCCTTGAACTAACTGGGGTAGCTGATAAGACCAGGAAGGGTGACTCTGATCCTTGGTAGTGCTTTCTGAAGTGAACCTGTATGGGTTTTGACCATGGAAGCTTAGAAATAATTCTATCCATCATTAAGGATACCTCATTATAGTGGTTCATGGACTTTTAAACACTGTAGTATGGACAAGAATCTTTGAGCCTTGAACTTTGGTGGGATTCTGGAGCTTATGATGTTACTAACTCTAGACAAGTAGGTGCTTCTCTAGAATTAGAATCTTAAGCAAATTTGAAGGGCCTCAAGAGAGGCAGGAGCCTTCTCAGGACTTGGGGAGAGACAGGGCCCCTAAAGCCTGACAAAGGCATGAGAACTGAGTGGCACAGTGTTTCCAACCAGGCCAGGGCAGCAAGTGATGCGTTGATAATTTTGTCTATGCTCTTAACTCACTAGAATGACTGAAAGCTTGGCACATCGGAGCTTGGTGTAGAACTAAGACATTTCCTAAGACCCTGGCAGAGCTACGCCCAATCCAATGTGAGAAAGCAGCTGGCAACGGAACCCCAACTCTATCCAGGCACTGGGACTTAAAAAATACATTTAGGGCTTAAATTTCATTGAATTTTTAACTCACAAGGGCAAGAGAAATTGATTTTGGAGTTGAACTTGCAAACTGATTTAAATTTTGGGATTTTAAATTTTTCCTTGGGAATTTTGTAATTGGAAAACCTTTACAATGTCTTCATTCTATCATTATAATATTCTGATATCATTATTTAATCTCACACCAGAAAAGTTATAGCTTCATTATGTCTCACACAGGAAAATCATGTCTTATAATAATCTTCAACTTTAGATACCATGTGACCTTGGAGTACATTTAAGTAATATACTATTGTAACACAGGGACCTCTAGGAGGCGCAATTTATATGGTCCATCAGCAGCTGGAGGGGTAGTTATTCTGAAGGAGTCTCATGAAGACAGACACAACTATGGACACATGGCCTCTCTCACCCCATGAGGGACAACCAGGCATGTGTGTGACTATAGACAGCACTGTTGAGCCCAGTGGGAAATAAATATATATTTTTAAGTGGTGGTGGGGGCTGGGGATTTTTTTTGTCATGCCTGATGTTTTCCTTTCACATGGAGGGAAATTCATAAGTGGAATACTCTGATTTTTGTCTTTGTACCCATTCAGCCTAGGCGTGGTGAAGGGACTTCCCTGTTGATAGATTCAATACAGGAAGGATAAAGAGGGCATGCTTGGCTCAACTGCTTCCTCCTTCAAGGGGTGGGCTGTGCCCTCAATCTGATCTGCTGGTGACTGCATAGGTACCTGTCTCATGCTAGAGTTTACTATTAGGAAGTGCACCTTCCTGTGGATATAAACCAACTCTTTCCACCCACACCTTGTCAGTAATGAGGGCAATAATTTGGCTCCCATCTGCCTTATTCATTTGTCTTATTTTTCAAGCAGTTGAGAAGCCATGTGAGAAGCCAGGAATGGTGATATTCATTGGGTTCTCCCGGAGACCCATCCCCAGTGCTGCCCCCGCTGCTCCTCTGGGGTGGGCATCCCCCAGCCTGCCTCAGCCTACCTCCAGGCTGCTCCGGACCCTGGCTGGAGTTCTCTGCTACTCTGTCTCCTGCAGGGCACTCCCCGACTGGCCTCTCTGATATGTCCAGCGAGCTCTCGTAAGTCTCCTTCTCCAGGTCAGAGCGGGGGCAATTTCTTGTCCACCATGTCAGGCGAGCAAGCTGGAGGGAAGGAAGACACTGGAGTCAGTTGTCTTTTTTTTTTTTCGTGCGCCTGTAGTTCCAGCTACTTGGAAGGCTGTAGTTGTCTTGAAGAGCAGTCTTGCTGTAGAAAAAGAGGGCCCTGTTCATGGAAGGCTATCAGAGCATCAGCAAGGAGGATGAGGAACAGAGACAGGGCTAGGAGTCAGAGGCCTGGATCTTAGCCTTAACTGTCCCTTTCATCAGATATGAGAATTCCCCCAGTGCCTACTCTATGTCAGGCTTGTGCTGGGTGCTGGAATACAGACCTGAGACACACATGGACCCTGACCTCGTGGATCTCACGGACTGAGAAAAATGAGGTTGGACAGGGAGGCTGGTGCCTGATAATAAAAGGCTTGGAAGGTCAGGACAAGGAATTCATACTTAAAAAAAAAAAAACTATAGGCAACGGGGAATCACTGTAAACTTTAAACAAAGGAGAGAGACCATAAGTAGTCCATGTGTTCTGGGATTTCCAAAGATCTCTTGGAATTAATTGAAGGGGGTCCAGCCTGGAGACTGTTGCAAAATTAAGCAAGAAATAAGAGGCACCTGAGGTAATGGGTAGGCGAGAGTAGCTTTGAAGAATGCTAAGGAGGTAAAACCTACAGGATGCAGTGCCTGGCTGAATGAGCCAGGTGAGGGAAAGGGGGGAGGCTAACATGGCTCTGGAGTTCCTGCCTTAGATGATTAGATGGGTAGTGGTGCCCCTGCCAAGGATAGAGGATGACAGGACAAGGGGTGGGTTTGGTCCTGGGGGGGGAGAGAAGGAAGAGAGAATATGCACACGCACAAATGTGATGAGCTTCATGAGTCATCTAGGTGAAGAGAAATATATCTTGTGTCCTCTAGGTCAGGGGTCCCCAGACCCCAGGTCGTAGACCTGTACTGGTCTGTGGCCTGTTGGGAACCCAGATGCACAACAGGAGGTGAGCTGTGGGTGAGCAGAGTTCTGCCTCCTGTCAGATCAGCGGTAGCAGTCGATTCTTATAGGAATGTGATTCCTACTGTGAACTGCACATGCAAGGGACCTAAATCATGTGCTCCTTATGAGACTCTAATGCCTGATGATCACCCCCACCCCCGTACCTCCCCACTCCCACCCGTCTTACATGAAACTGGTCCCTGATGCCAAAATGGTTGGGGACGTCTGCCTTGGCAGTTTTCTCTCTTCTCCTTTTTGGTGGCTCAACAGACTAAAACATAGCAAATTCTTTGATTGGTATCAGTGGTGTTGGATTCACTGCTACCTGAGCTCTGAATTTCTGCTTTTCCAGCTTGGTGCTTCTGGCCAGATAGCTCTTTGTTACATGCTGAGCCAGGTATCCCCTGCCTTATTTTTCCAGCTTCCTGCTTTCCACTGTGCTGGGCCCAAGCATGCTTCTCTATGGGATCATGAGAGCTTGGGTGACTTCCTTGCTTGTAAGTGTCTCTCGATAAACCTTACTTTGTACTATCACTGTGTGTCACTAGTAGCATATGAACTGTGTTTTTTTGTGTCACCAGGAGGCAGTTGGATTTCTGGGCTTGAAACTTGGGAGAGGAGTTTTGTGTGGAGATGGAGAATAGAGGGTCATCTCAATGTAGAACGTTGTTGAATTCATGGCCCAGGGACACTGTAGGGTGAGACAGGTTCTAGGCCATAGATGGGTTCCTAAGGAACACTGATATTGAAGGGGCAGGAAGAAAAGTCCATGAAGAAGTCAAAAGATTGATCAGAAGGCCAGGGAAAAAAAAAAAACCAGGATCAGGATAGTTCATGGAGATGAACAGAATGTCTTCAGAGTACAGGAAGTGGTCAGTAATGTTTAGTTTCCCTCAGAATTCACTTGAAATAAAGACAGGAACATGACCACTGAGTTGAGCAACAAGATATTATCAGACACCAACACACAGTTACTGTGACCTTGGTAAGAGCAATTTTGGCAGAAAGCTGAAGACAACAGCCAGACAGCAGTGGGCTGAGAAGCAGACAAGAGGTGGGACATGGAGGCTGGGAATAAAGATCATTCTTTGCAAAAGTCTACTGTTGAGGGGAGGAGAGGGAGGAATGAGAGGAGAACAATCCAGGGAAGGATTTTACATTGTGAGGAGGAGAGGGAAGAAGATTGCAAAATCTGAAGCACCATACATGTGAGGGAATTATTCATGATGGCCACCCAATGTTCAGGGACCGACTTCTGGCATCAACTCTGTTATGGGCTCAATTGTGTCCTCCCCAAACTTATATGTTGAAGTCCTAACCCCCTGCACCTTAGAATGTGATTATATTTGGAAATGGGGTTTTTAAATATATAGAAGTTGCTAAAAAATGCATACATATTTTAAGGGGAAAAAAACTATATTAAAAATATAATGCTCAATATATACCAATAACAAAAGATGAATACAAGTCATGTTTGACTTCTGCAATTACAAGAGGTGCTCAAAGTGGTTACCATCAGCATCCAGACACTTCTGATTATGATGAACTAAAAGTTATGCATAGATAACATCTCTTAAAATGTTATATGTACATTTATGTATACATTTTTTGGCACCCCCCCCCCAGTATATTTCAGGCTAAATGAGGTCATTAAGATGGTTCTTAATCCAATAAGACCAGTGTCCTTAAAAGATAAGGAGATTATGTCACAGACAGGCACAAGGGAAGATCATGTAACAAAAAAGAGAAGCCAAGGAGAGAGGCCTCAGAAGAAACCAACCCTGCCAACACCTTGATCTCAGACTTCTGGCATCCAAAATGGTAAGACAAAAAATTCCTATTGTTCAAGTCACCCAATCTGTGGTACTTGGTTATGGCAGCCCTAGCACACTAGTACAGGTTCTAACAAACAAACAAGCAAACATCAAAAGACTGAATTTCATTTTGGGAGAGGTGAGAATTTTCATTTGGGCTCGTAATCTAGTAAACTTTCTGTGGCTTTTCCCATGCACTTGTTTCTTGGCCACTCAAAAATTCTCTATTCCCTATTCACAATAGCAAAAACATGGAATCAACAATGCTGTCCATCAAAGCTGGACTGGGTAAAAAAAAATGTGGTCATATACACAATGGAATATGATGCAGCCATAAAGAAGGACAAACATATGGACTTTGCAGCAACTTGGATGGATTTAGAGTCGATCATACTCAGTGATCTATCACAGAAACAAAGAACAGAATACCATATGTTCTCACTCATAAGTGGACCTTGAACAATTATAATTCTATAAGAAAGGGATTGGCAGTAGTAGGAAAGTTTCAGGGGCAGTGTGGGATTGGCAGTTGAGAGAAACTCCTGGGAAAGGAGGGGCACACCTCATCAGCAAGGGTACCTGTATAATCAACGTTTGTATACCTAGCCCTGAATTGTACCCCACATATTTATTTTAAAAAATATTCTCCATTCATTCTTCAAGGTCCAACTCAAAGTGTCCTCAGTGTACTCTCCCCGGCTCCCAGGAGGTGACTGCCTCTCCTATGCTGTGTCCCTCTCCTTGAACTTGGCCCTTCTGCACTTCCTCTTCGAAGAGTAAAAAATGTGTCAGTGTGTCTGCTTCCCCCAGGGTTGGTCGCTGGCAGGGACCATTCATCTTTGTAACCCCAGCACAGTGCCTGGCACATAGTGGGTACTCACTGGGTAAAATTTTTGAATTGAATAAATTACTTTTCACTGGAGTGTTCATAGTTCAGTGAACTCCCCCTCCAGAGAACATTAGCATGACCACAGGGGAGATCCTAACCCAACAGAGTGAGACCTAACGGTGGAAATCCACGCACTGGAGATAGGAAGAGCATCTCTGGGGGCCCTCAGTGTGAGTACACACACTTGCCTTTTCCTCAGGGATGGGGGTTGTACAGAGGCTGACGGTCACGATGATGATGGCAGTGAGCCCGCAGAGGAGGAGTGCAAAGTACAGGTAGTGGAAATCCTTCAGCACGGCCGGCCTCTGGTCTGCCTCCCCACAGGCTGGGGCTGGGTAGGAGAACTCCAGGATCATGCGCAGAAGCCCCACTCCCAGGCCAAACATGAGGCCCCAGAAGGCTCCCTACGGAGAGGACAGACACCAGAAGGGGTGAGAATCAGGTGGGAGACCCCCGGAGGCCAAAAGTCACTCTGTCCCTCCCAACCTCACTCTTCCACTCATCTATTACAATATTTGGCAAGTCCGTCTCAGTGAGTGCCCCATGAATGCTGAGACGTTGTCTAGACTTCAAGGCAGGCAGAGGGTAGTGCTGGTGAGGGCATTGGTGCTAGGGTCAGATGAACCAAATGTGAATCCGGGTTCCATACTGGAATGACCCTGAACCAATGACTCAACCTTGCTGACTCAGATTTTTCTCACGTGCCATGATAAAAGAAACTCATAAAACTAAGTACCAAGTTAATTAAAAGATGCTTAATATTCATCTAGAATGGAATAAGCTTTTGTAATAAGCAGAAAACACCAGGATCTCCTTCTTGTCTTTCTGTAGTGATAAATCAGAAATCAGAATAGAGATTTCCCTTTGTTGCTTTTTTTTTTTTTTTTTGGTTTTAAAGAAAGGTTCTGGTATCTCCCTTGTATTTCTTTTTAATAACCCCATTTGGCCCTAACTCGTATCTATTCCCAAGTATTTAAGAGTCTGATGACATATATTTTAAAAAATGAGATGCTGATTGTAATTTCAAAAACTCTAGAATGAACACAAACTCCCAAGATTCAACTGGGCCCTGCTGTGTGGCATGGTTATCAGCGAGATGAGACCTCTGCAGCAGGAGACACCTTGCTCAGATGCCATGGAGGGAGGAGTTTCTGTGACCTCCTTTGTGATGACCTTGCACTCTCACACTGCTCTTGTGCAGTTGCGTCCATGACATCTCTCAACTTCCCAATGTGCAGCCAGTAGGTTTGGGCCTGTGTCTTCTAGACGATCCCAGGGAGTAACCAAGGTTCCAGTCCTGGTGACCCCAGCATCTCCCCAGATCCCATCAGGTTTCAGTGCTGTTAAGTGAACAATGCATTTGCAGGCACCCCTGTAAGTTTACACTTTATCATCATCATTGTCATTGCTGTCATTTTGCTTATATAGAGAGCCTTACAGTGTTAGAGACTAAACAGACCCTAGAAATCTTCCAATCAATCTTGCACTTTCACACACTCTATTCTTTGTGTCTGAAACACTTATCTACTTCCCACTAACCTGTCAAGTCTCAGTTTAGGTGTCAGTTCCTCTAGGGGGTCTTCACTGACCCCAGAAGACCCATTGGTTAGATGCATGTATTCTTCACTCTCCCAGCAGACAACATACTTTCCTATTATTGCTTATTTAATCATGGCTCAGTGATGGCAGACTTATGTGAACCTTGTAAACTGCTGCATCCCTGAAGCTGCCGTAATAGGACTGATAAACATTTGTTGAGTAAGTGAATGAATCTAGACCTGATGCTGTGGTCAGGGAGATGGGAGATGGAAACCTAGAGGGGGAAGAGGTTTTTCCAAGGTCACAGAGACAAGCTGATTGGCAGAACAGGTGTCCAGCCCCTCTGTGGTAAGGGGAGGAGACAGGTGCATAGCACTCACAGGCTCTGTGACCCTCTTGCAGAAGATGGCCAGAAGGAAGAGGGCAGTGATGGGCGGGGCCAGATAGCTGGTGACAGACTGGATGTAGTCAAAGAGCTGCCCACTGTTGGAGCTTTGGATGATGGGGATCCAGAGGATGCTGATGACGACGAGGAACACCACAAACACTCTGCCGGGGAGAGCACAGGGCACCACAAGGCACACTCAGATGGGCATGAGACGGCGTGGGGGAAGGTGGTGCACAGAAGCCGGGAAGGGAGAAGATGGCGGGGAATGCATGGTTGCCAAATCAGAGAAAGCTAGCAGGTCAAAATCCCACACACTAAAATACAGAAATTTATACTGTTAAAATCCCAGAATGTCAGAATCCAAGAAAACTATCCTTCTAAGACCTCAATGGCATTTATATATTAGATGTCTTCCAGGCCATGGCACCTATCTGGTGTTCAAAGAGGAATCCATACTTTCTACCCCACCACTCATCCCAGCAAAAGGCCTCTGGTCTCTGCTTGGGACATCCTTTCTCCCCTTTTGAGTTCCAATCCTGTGCAGGATAGTTCCCATCTCCTGGTTCTGACCCTGACTCCCTTACGTTGGCACTAAACTTCGGAGTAAAAATCCCACCTTCTTCTTCTGACTCTCCTTCATCTGATCCCAGCTCAGGCTTAAGTCCCTAGAGTGTTCTGGATATATGATTTTGCAAATATGTGGGCAAGTTGAAAACTTGTCTTGGATGTGTTGGGTGCAATGATGCATATAGACAGGAGATGGCGCCCAAACCCCACTGATTGATGAATTAAGCTAGCAAAAACCAGGTAGCTACCATGCAGAGGCAAGGGATGCTTCTTTTGAGATGGATCTGCATACGTGTCCTCACTTTTTCTTTTCCTCCCATTTTTTTTCCTTTCTCAGGCCCCACTAGAGCAGCAGCTATCCAAGTGACCTCCCTGTCTCTCCTCCTCTTCCTCTTTGCACAAACTGCCCTGCACTCAGATCCTGCAGTGGTCAGTCCTTGTGCCTAGCACTAACGGTGCACAGATAAGCAGGCTGTAGAAATCCATTAGGGAGCCGTGAGCAGAAGGCATTTGGTAGAAAGAACAATGAGTGCAATGGCAGGGAAAAGGGAAATGCAAAAGAGCAAGATACCCAAACTCAATAACCTATTTCCCAAAGGAGAGAAGAAGCACTTCAGTCCAGAAAACGGAGTTAGGGAACCTTCCATTATGAAGCAAAGATATCAGATAGGGCCCTTAACCCTACAAATCTCCAGTCTATGGAGAACAAGAAAAATTAGCCACCAAGTTATACTTTTAGTATTTTTAAAAACACAAAACTCTTATGCTTATAAGATAAAGTTCAAACTTTTAGCTTGGTGTTCAAGACTCTGTGTCATTGAGAGATGACCTTCCTATGAACATCTCCAATTGATGCAGGTACCACGCTGTGTTCCCTGTGTTTTCATCATTCTCATTAAACTGTGAGCACTCTGAGGGCAGAGCCCTGTGACTCATCTTTGTGTTCCCAGCACATGGAGTGCTGTGCATGGTGATAGTTGGGGTGAGTCTAATGGATTAAATTAATCGCATTTCTGTTATCCAGAGTTGGTCTGGAAGACCTTGAAGTAGCTACTTCTAACTTGCCTCATACTTAGTTCACCTTTCACTTCTTCTTTTTTTTTTGAGTTGGAGTCTCACTCTGTTGCCCAGACTGGAGCGCACTGGCCGCTCCCGGCCACCGCAGCCTCGACCTGCTGGGCTCCGGCGATCCTTCCGCCTCAGCCTTCCAAGTAGCTGGAACCACAGGCACACGCTACCACACCCGGTTAATTTTTGATTTATTGTAGAGATGAGGTCTCGCCAAGTTGCCCAGGCGGGTTTTGAACCTGCGGGCTCAGGCAATCCACTCACCTCGGCCTCCCAAAGCATGGGATTACAGGCTGAGCCACCGAGCCCAGCTACCTTTCACTTCTGAAGTGTGTTGTCATCTCTCTGTTGATCACATCCAAGAGAAAGTTAAATAGGCAGAGAAGAGGCGTTTCTCCCCGTTATTCTGGGGGGGAGGAGTGGTCCAGAGATGAGGAAGGCCATCCCGGAGGTGGTAGAGAGCCAGTCCTAAAGCCCAGTGCTCTATCTGCCATCCAGGGCGCAGACCCAGCCTCATCTGCTCAGGGTGACCGGGGCAGGGGGAGAGGGGTGTGAAGAGGGTGTCCTGAAAGGAAGGAAGAAGGGATCGGCGCACCTGCCCACCACCATCAGCTCCTGCTCTGTCGCCTTCCTGCGAAAGTGCTGCCACACGTCAATGGCAAACAGGGTGCTGCTGCTGTTGAAGATGGAGGTGAGTGAGCTCATGAGGGCGGCCATGATCACGGCGATCATCAGGCCCCGCAGACCTGGGGAGAGATGAGACTCGAATGGACAGCTGGCCCATGAAGGCCGGCTGTGCTGGGACCACGGAGGTTGAAGCAGTACCCAGCAAAGTCAGGAATCGGGGTGGGGATGAGATGAGGATGGTGTTGGGTGAGGTTTCCGTCAAGTACAGATAAGAAATCCGAGTCCCACAGAAAGAGAGGTAGCGTTCCAACCAGGTGCTGCCTCTGCCTTGCTTCCTGGACTTGGGTGACTCATTTGCCCTCCCTGAGCCTTGGTTTCCACATCATACCATTAAGGCATGTGAGACTAGGTAATCTTTAAGACTCTCTACAGCTTTGACATCTCCGTTTAAGCTTCACAGCTTGTAGACCCTTGGTCGGTGGGTTCCTCTGGAGGAGAGGAGGGAGGCGATTGTTATTAACTGGGTGTGTTTTAAGTGCTCTTGTACTTTCATCATTGACATTATGGCATTTGGTGAAAGCCCAGGCCTGGGAGGCAGAAGCCTTAGGGTTGTTTCCTAGCTCTGCAAGTAACTAGCTATACGAGGGAGGACCCCCCAAAATGGAATTTATTTATTAAAAATTTGCATATTTATTCTTATATGTTTAAACTTCAGTCACCTTCAAAGTACTCTCCATTTGAAGCAATATACCTATTGAGTCACTTTTTCCACTGCCCAGAATAGTTTTTGAACTCATCAGTTTTGATACTTTAGCGCTTCTGCCATTTTTTGTTTCAATTCTTCCATCTCAGCAAAAAATTTCCCTTTGAGGGCTTTTCTCATGCGGGGAAACCAACAAAAGTAGCTTGGGGTGAGATGGGGTGAATAGGGAGGGTGGAGCATGGGGGTGGAAGGTGACATGCCATTTTCGGTCAAAAACTGCTGAGCACTCAGCATACTGTGGGCAGCTGCACTTGTAAATCATTCCTCGTGAAATGGGCACACGTGTTGAAAGAATCCTCAAAACAAAAAAATTCACTGCAGCCTATTGCAGCCTCTCACAACAACACTAACTGGTACACTGATGTCAATGGGTTGCTAGAACACTTACCTAGTGTGGTAAGCCTGTCCTACAAGGGGCCTACTTTCCAAAAGATAATTCCAGTTTTGTGGGGTCCTCCCTTGTATTTAATCACCTTCCAATGTCTCCCTGGAAGACTCACAGGCACCTTGGACTCAGTGCTTCAGCTTAGGTACCCATCTTCCTCTGGGGCATTCTGTTTCCCTCTTTGGTTAATAGCAACTGTCCCATTCTACTCCAGACCAGAGTCATCTGAGACACCTTCCTCTGTGCTCTGTCCCCACCAGCCCTTCAGGGGCCGCTCTGCTCATCCTGACTGGGCCTCCACTGTCTCCACTACTTCCTTGATTCATTCCTCATGTTACCGAGGGTGGGAACAGCTCTACTCATCCACTGTCCTCCATACACTTCCCTTCCTGTGTCCCCGATTGCAATATCACTATAAACGCACCTTCTAAAGATCAAGACCTGGAGCTCCCTTTGATTTCTCTGTCTTTCTTGTTCCCAGACACAATCAGTGATCAAGTCCTGTCAATTTTACCTCACGAACATCTGTAAATCCCTTTTCTCCATCTCCAAAGTCACTGACTTGGTCCAAGCCACAGCTCCACCTATCCGGGCCAATGCTCACACCACACGGACTGTCTCCCTGCTTTCCCAAGCCTGCCTCACGTGGAGTCCTCTCTGCAGAGTGACCATACTACAGCACAAACCCAGTCATGCACTCTCAGGCCTAAGCCATCTGGAGTCCCAGTGCGCCACACTCCAGAAGGAGGCTTGGCTGTGACATTCGCTCCAGCAAGATCGTCTTCATCCTCCCTGCCGTTGCGTCCACACTGGGCTGCTCTGGGCTCAGACTGCATGCTCTCTCTCCACCTGGGCCTTCCACACACAGCTTCTCGCCCTTAGACTGACATTTCCCGTGCCTGTCCGGCTGAATCTGCCTAAGATGTTCCTTGGGACTCAGCTCCATTCCCTCCCCTCCCGGAGGCCTTCCTGACTGACGTGGTCCACACTGGGTCAGGTGCCTCAACCCCGACTGAGTCACCACACTGGTCACACTGAATTGCACCCCTGGCGCGTCTGGGTTCCCTGGAGACTGCATGAGCTCGGACAACTTTTTATCTCTGCACATAGGACCAGAGCCCGTGAGAAGTGTGGCGGGTGTGTGTGTTGGGGTGTGGGGTGCAGAGGTAAGCACTTTTCTTCCCTCTTCCCATCCATTTCAGCACCATCCTTCCTGGGTGGTGGGGATGGAGGAGATGAGGCGGGCGTGTGGGGTGGGGCGGGGGTCTGAGACTCACCGATGGGCATGAGAGCCATGACCAGCTTGGGGTAGGCGATGTTGGAACATCCCACTCGGGCCCCGCAGACTCTCTGGCAGACGCTGGGGTCCACACAGCCCACCTCATCTGCAGAACAAGTAGTGGCAGTCAGAGCCATGTGATCAGTGTCTTCTCAGATTGACCAGTATTTGCTTTCTGAAGCTATGTTCCCTGGAGACTCTGGCAGGACCCGTGTCAAGAAGGTCAAGGGCCAGGTGGTGTCTGTGTCTCTGGTAATTTCTTGCCCATCTACTATTCTGCAAAGCCTAGTAACCTCCTTTTGGTTTTAGGCTTTGCATCGTGATAAAACCAAATGTCCTTGGAAGGTGCCAAGAATGCCTTGATTGGTATTTCTCATATAGAGGAGAAGCAGATTTTTATAATGGTGCAGAGATTCAAATTTCTCCTACTGAAATATGTGTCACCTGTCTGGCCCACAAGGCCTAAACTACTTACTACATGCTATTAACTGACAAAGCTCACCACCCCCTGCCCTGGTCCAGCATTGACCAGGGACACCTCTGGATACCCCCAGTGAGCCCCATATCCCAGAACCCAGAGAGCACAACTCGCTCTCACCTGGGAACAGGGCCCGACTGACCATGCCAGGCATGACGATGAAGAACATGGGGAGGATCTTCAGGTAGCCCCCCAGCACGGAGCCGCCCTTGGCATGGGACAGACTCTTGGCGGAGAGAGACCTCTGCACAATGACCTGGAATGGCAGCAGTGGAGGCGTGCAGTCAGATTGAGGAGGGGCTCACTGGGGCACAGGCAAGCCCTGGCACTGGTCACTGATTGCACCCCTACTCCAGTTCCAGAATGAGGTCCAGCTTTCTCTGCATCCAGGCACTTGGTTCCGCAGGAAGCCACCCCCTTCCTGGTGGTCTGGGTCAAGCCTGGCAGGGGCGTTACCTGATCTGTGCACCAGCACCAGGTGGCCAGCACGGTGAGCCCGAAAATGAGACCTGGCCAAGGGATGTCCCCACTCACAGGGTCCCGAAACATGTGGAAGGCATCGGGCCGTGGGAGGTGGCAGGTGGTGTTGGGGACTGTGGCATTAGGGATAGCCTGCCTGTACCGCTGCTCCAGGCCTGGGTACCAGCCCACCTCTCGAAAGCCTGTGGGGAGAGACACAACAAAGCAGCCCTGACACCCCACTGAGCCTGTCACTCAGCTCACCCCAGCCCCATGTGGACCCTCGGGTTAGAACAGGTATGAGGATTGGGAGTCAGGGAGGGAGGTAGAATTCAGGCTCACGACCCTTGGTTAGAAGTAAAGGGAATCCTGATCTTTGGGAACCCCACCCTGGAGAGGGGACGTAGTTCTATGCCCTGGAAAGTTCCAGTCAAGCCAGGTAAGTGGCAGAGGCAGATCAGAGAGGAATTTAAAGGTGAGGGTGGGGGGTATTTAGGCCTCATCCTTACCCAGAAACATGAGGACCAGGGCTCCCCCCACCATGATCACTGTCTGCAGAGCATCTGTGTAGATCACGGCTGTGAGGCCCCCTGGAGATCCAAGGAGAGGACTGGTCAGTCAGCACCAATGGGCGTTCCTCTCTGGGTGCCCACCCTGTGCTTGGCCACACTGGGGAGACCAGACAGACATGGAGCCCTCTTAGCAGGGGGACTCTGGCCACCTGCCTTTCCCCCTGCCCCATGCTCTGCTCTGTCCCACCCTGGCAGAATGAAGCCTGGTCATAGTCAAAGATGTTTGTGTCTGCTCCTTCTACCCCAGACAGCATCCAGCTGTGGCCATCATGCTGTAACTTTGTGTTGTTTAATATCCTAAGTCCATTCCTTTCCTTGTGTTTTTTCCAGGAATATACCCTGCTTTCCTGTCCCAGTGCCCGCCTAAATACCTCCCATCTTTTGAGGCCTGTTTAGCCATAAGTAAGTCTGTCCTGCTCGAGCCTGTGTGAGGTGTTTTGGGAGAAATGGAAGAAGACAGTTTGTAGCCTTGACTAGAGAAGCTCACAATGACTCTGGTCCAGACGATAGTCCCCTCTCTCTACCCTACTCCCTGTGCAGTTGGTCTTTTTCAGTCTCTCTAAGAGTCTCTCCTTCCCTGTGTCTACCTGACTCTGTTTCCCCATTTCTACCCTTTTCACCTCTTTTCTCTGCCACATTCCATCTTTTAGGCTATTCCTCTGTGTTTTACTCTTGTTCTATATCTCTGTCCTGGCCTCTCTCTATCCTGGCCTCTTCCTGTTTCTCATTTTCTCTCTCAGCATCAGTTTTCTCTGTCTCTCTCCTCCTCTCTCTGGTCATCTCTCCTTCAGTCTTTCTGTCTGTGTCTCTTCCAGTCAGAGACTTGCCTCTTCACTTCTTGTCTCCCAGTCTCTGCACCCCGATGTGACCCTCCCTGGGCCCTACCTGCAATGGTGTAGATGGCTGTCACCACCAGCAGGATCGCGGTGGAGAGATAAAGATTCCAGCCCAAGGCCATCTGGATGAAGAGGGCTCCAGAGAAGATGTCTGTCTGCAGAAAACCAGGAGCCACGAGTCCAGGCTACCCAACACCCTCAGTGTGGCCATTATGGGTATGTCACCTGCTGGCTCAGCAACACCAGGTGTTCTCAGCCCTCACCGCAGGATGAATACCAGCCTTAAGTGCTAGCTAAGGAGTTTGGGCTTGACCTTGCAGACACTGAGGAGCCGTGGAGACTTTAAAGCAGAGGAGTACTGCATAAAGCTTCGGATCTGAGAACAATTTAATCAGGTAGCTGGTCTGTTGGACATGAGGGAATGGTGAGGAACAAAGCAGAAGCCTGAGGAAGTGAAGGAAGGAGCTGGGCTGGAGGAGAAGAGGTCATTTGGGAGGAGAGAGGAGGAACCCAGAGGGTTGCTGGCTGCTTCCCACAGAGCAGAGTCCCGCCTGCTGCCAGATGGCCCATGGCTAATGCAATGTGGCTGGAGCCCTGGTGCAGACAACCAAGGGCTCTGGACAGTCTACACGCTTGGGGTTATTGAAGGACCTGGGAGCACAGCCTTTCCCTAAGCTGACTTAGGGTTGTTCTCAAGCACTGGCGGAACAAGGGCCTTAAAGTGTTTCTCAGCCCTAGATCTGGCAACTGTGTAATTCCAATCCCTCTAGTGTAAGCTTGTGGACCTTACTCCATGATTGTTTTGTGAACCTATGACCAGATCTACCACATAACAGGAGGCGATCCTGGGGATCTGAACTTCTGTGTGGATTTGGGCAAGTCATTTGACCTGTCTAGTTTAGGTCAACAGAGAAAGAATAAGGGTCTTTCTAACTCTAACATTCTAGGCAATTGGTGAATGAAGAATTGACTAATGGAAAGGTAAGTGAATGAATGATATCTAGAGTTCTTTAAATACAGGGACTGTCATTCACTCAACAAACACTTGTCATGTATCTTTGATTATCCCACTGCTGAAGGGGAGCATGCATTGAAGGTATGTGGAGCATTCTTCCATTTTCTTTCCTCCCTCCCTCCCTCTTTCCCTCCCTCCCCTCCTTCCTCCCTCCACCTGATCTGATTGTCGGCTTCCCCTCAGCAAAACACCCATGATAATGCACTCAGCAGTTCCCTAGTCAGTATTTTCAAACAGACACAATGGCCACATGGTCATGGTACCCACTGATATCTTGGTGAAGATGTAGAGGATGAGAGACAACACAGACATGTACACCTGGATCCTCTGGCCTCCGAATCGCTTCTTCAGGTACTGTGGCATAGTGACCACACCAGCTGCGATATACACAGGGACGAAGATCCAGCCGAGGGCCAGGAGCAGCCAGGTTGCCTGGGAGAATGGGGAGAAGACAGCATTTAGGGCCTAGACGCAGACAGAAGGGTGGCTTCCCACCAGAGGCAGCACCATGCTGTGAGAGGGCCCTGAGCGGAGAGGTAAGGGACCTGGGTCTCATTTCACCACTCAGCCTCCCACACACCTCTAAGGTTCTATTTAGCACTAAGGCCAGGAACAAGGTGGATCAGACTCTCATTATCCTGGAGCAGCCAGGCAAGCTTCCTTACATTCCACTCGAAGCCACCCACAGCAAGGCCTCCAGCAGCCCCAGTCCCAGCCAGGCCGATGAACAAGCCACTGCCCACGTTGCTGGACATCAGAGATGCTCCAATCTGCAAGGCACAAGTGAGTCAAAGGTCAGAGCCAAAGGCCAAGTGCGGTGGTTCAAGCCTGTAATCCTAGCACTTTGGGAGGCCAAGGTGAGAGGATTGCCTGAGTCCAGGGCTTCGAGATCAGCCTGGTCAACTTGGTGAGACCTCGTCTCTACAATAAATTAAAAAATTAGCTGGGCATGGTGGTGTGTGCCTGTAGTTCCAGCTACTTGGAAGGTTGGGGTGGAAGGATCGCCTAAGCCCAGCAGGTCAAGGCTGCAGGGGCTATGAGCATGCTACTGCACTCCAGCCCAAGAGACTGAGTGAAACTCCAACTCAAAAAACAAAAAAAGGGTCAGTGTCAGGGTTAATCTGAATCAATCCGGAGTCAGGACTAGGAACAGTGAGGGATGGCACTGAGCTGACATTTGCTGAGTACCTACTGTATGCCAGGTACTGCATTAATAAACACATTTAATCTCCACAAATATCTGGAGGGAGGGTATCAATTTTCCCAATGCACAGAGGAATGAGCTAATGTTAGGAAACTTATTCACAGGTGATCCAGTGAGTAAGTGGTGAAGCAGGAAAGAAGGGAAGCCATGGGAAGTAACACTGATGGAGCTCGGCATGGGGGACTATCAGTCTGAGGGCCTCCAGAGAGAAGGATGCTGAAGGGGGTGACCTCTGCGGGGGGGAATAGCAAACCCCACAGGATGGACTGGAGGTCCTCCCACCACCCTAGGTGCCCTTCTCCTGCTCACAGGCCATGGTTTCCTCACACTAACAGGCCCAGAGCTCAGCTGTCTTCAGGATTGAGCAGGTAGTCCGTAGGGTCCCCAGGTTTCTCCTGGCTGGTTAGAGGAACCTGCTCTGTCCTGCTTCTTTCCCCCCACACTACTCCTCTCCAGAACTGTGATTTGGGAGCAATGGCTGAGAAGAACCACTTTCAAGTATTTTCCTTTCTTCTGATGAAGGGGTGGCTGGTAGTACCCCTGAGCCACAAGGTCCTGAGCACCCCATATGCCTGGGGGTTCTATCATGCTGGATGACATAAGAGCTCCCTGTCCCTACTTCTTTCTGTCCCAGACACCCAAACCTTCCAGGGAGCCCTTGAGGACTCCTGGGTTTCCTCTATTCTTTGAGAGTCTGTGACCAGAAGCGGGGAGGGTGGCGAGAACCAAGAGGAGGGAGGAAAGATGGCTGGTGGTGTGACTGTGTGTAAATGTGTGAGTGTGTGATTGTGAGAGTATCAGTGTGTCTGAGTGAGAGGGCAAATGTGTGAGAATATGAGAGTGCTTGTGAGTGTATGGGAGTATGTGGTGAGATTGCATGTGACTGTGTGAGTGAGCATGAGCCTGTGAGCGTATGCTAGATGTGAATGCATGTGTGAGAATGTGTGAGTGTGAGAGTGAGAATGTGAGTGATTGCATGCATGAGTGTGTGAAGTATGTGTGAGTGTGGGCATGTATGAATGTGTGTGTGTCAGTGTGTGTGAATGCGGGCATATGAGTGTGCATGCACATATGCTATGTGTCAATTTTGCACACCTGGGTGTGTATAATCCTGTAGCTACCATGGGGGCTGATGACTATTCGTTTTTGATGCAGGCCTTCCTCCTTGCATCCTATTCCAGGAGGAGGGAGTTAGTTCTGAGGACTAATAGAGATGTGGGGTGACCTGACGGGAGAAATTGGGGTCCATGAAGGTTTCAGGATTGATTCCCTGAGGTTGTTGGGAAATGTATCTCTATGATTCCTTACATTTAACTGCTCTTCAGTTTATGTGTCACCTTTCCAAGGACATCCTTCCTTATCCCCACCCCATCCTACCATCTGGGGCCTGGGGACTTCTTCTGAGCTCTGGGAGCCCTGGGCTTCCTTCTAGCTCAGCAGTGCACATATTATTTATGAGTATGTCTGCCCCACTCAGTCCTGAACTTATAGGAAAGGGTCATTCCAGATCCATCTCTGCAGGTCCAGTGCCCAGTGTGGGACCCAGGGGATGCTGGTCCAAGATGTGTGCTAGCAAGACCACTCAGGTTCACTCAGGTTGTGAGGTGGATTTGGGCAGGAGAGGAATCCAGAGTCAGGGAACTCACTGGGGAGGCTGTTGTCTTGGTCCAGACATGACAAGATGAGATGAGGACTTGGACTGTGGGGAGGAGGAAGAGAGCTGGGAGCCTCTGCAGTGGGGGTAAGTGAGGAAGGTCAACTTACTGGCCACCAGCTCATGGACCTCCCCGCCAGGAAATAGCCACCAATGGTCCCTCGGCTTGCACGGATGGACGACTGGAAAGGAAATGGGTGAGATGAGGACTTCCCAAGTCTCTGTAGCCTCTGTCTTCCACACCAGATTCCCTGCCCCTCGGTGCAGGTATTGAGGTGTCACAGAGGGTGAGAACTGAGGCAGGATGGAGCTGTCTAAGGGCTGGCAGCTTCACCATTTCTGTAGGAGAGTCATGTCCTCTCTGCGAGCCCTGCTGCTCATCTCCCAGGGCTTGTGTGAAGAGCAAAGGAATGAAGGACGCCACGTGTGTGCGACCTTTGGTGCGAGCATGCACCACTGTTCCTGATCCTCCCCTCTCCCACTGTGTGCTTTCAGGAGACTATTTGGGCTCTCCTCAGGTGTGCAGTGGCTGCCCTTTCACCAAGCTGACCTGCTGCCTGCTCTCTGACAGGCTGCCACACTAGAGGCAGGGAGGACAGAGAAGGTTGCTGTTCTGACCCTGGGACTTTGGGTTCCTAGGCAGAGTTAGAGGTTGTGTCTTGGGGCCCCCCGCTGACTTGGTCTTAAGTCAGACTATCCAGAGCCCCATCCAGGACCCCGGAAGAAAACTCTGTCCTGCACCTGTTAACGGCCTGTTGGAACTTTCTCTGGGAGGGCAGGATAGTGGGTAGTGAAGAGTAAACTTGAAGCAATTATTCAAAGGCTGAGGCCAATAGGTCTCTGACCTTCCTTAAGGGAAAGTAATTAGTCACCAGGGAGTGATAAATGTGCACAGGGCTTTGTGCTTGTCAAGCTTTTGCTTGAACTTCCCCATGTCACCTCTAATCCCCTTGAAGCCCATATGAGCAAAACAAATCTGTTTTACAGATGAGGAAATGGAGGCCCAGCACAGGGAGCAACTTGTCCAAAGTCACTGATGAGTTGGTGCCAGTAATCATCTGTTTGCCCATTTCTTCCACACGTCAGCCCTGGTGGCAGGAACTGTTCACCCCCTTTAGAGATGAGGAAACTGAGACTCAGGGAGGGCTCCTGACTTCACTAGAGCCTAGGACGTGACCAGCTTGGACTTGAATCACAGCAGAGTCTAAAGGTGCTGGCACTTCCGCAGAATACTGTGGTGATAATAGCAACCGCTTATTGGCTGCCAGCCGCCTGTCAGGCACTGTGCCAAGTGCTTCAGTGCGTCCTGTCGCTGGATGATTACAGCAATTCCATAGCGCAGTTCCTTGCTCTCATTGTCCACCTGAGAAAACCGAGGCTCAGAGAGGCTTCGTCTGTCCTCAGGGTCACATGGCTCTAGCTGTTGGAGCTGGGATCTGACCTCAAAGTCTAGCCCTGCCCACAACATGGAGGCTCCCAGGAACAACAGAGAACTGAAGGACCTTGGAATCTGACTGACTTGCTTCCCTGAGAGCCCCAGCTCCTTTAGAAAGCCCCACTCCTTGGCCAAGACACTAACTAGTTCAGGACTTGAATAGGACCAGGGCTCAAGCATTGGCAGAGTTGAGGGTCTTGGGTGGGGAAGGCGGCAGGACCAAGACTCAGGGCAACCAGGCTCAGGGCCAAAAGTGGCAGGTGCACGGAAAGAAGTCAGAAGCTGGGTCTCCGTCTACCTTCTACAAAAAGAAGGGCCAGTGGAGGGTGATTCCTGAAGGTCCCTCCATCTCAGCCCTGTGGTTCTGTGATCTGCTTCCTTCTGCCCACCCCTGCCCCAGCTCCACGGCCCCACCCAAGATGAGAAGTTGCCTTCTCTCTCAGGCCCTGCCCCAGGACCCACTCACCCAGATCCCCACGGCGATGACGAAGACAAAGTAGATGACCACCACCGCAATGTCGTAGGCGTGCAGGCCAACTCCAGAGCCCAGTGCTGAACGCGGAGTTGTTTCAGTCCTGTCCCCATCCCGCGAAGCTCCAGGCCCCATTGCTGCCAAGTTCTTGCACATCAGTCAGTGTTGGTCACCAGCAGGCTGGACTTTGAGGTGCTCTTGGCTTTATTCCTTTCCTTTAATGATTAAACAGCCCCAAGAGTCATTAGCCGTTGAGAAGGCCCTGAGCCCTGCTGGCACATCAAGTCTGGCCTGCCTTTTCTCCTGAGTGCCACCCCCATCCCCTGCAGGACTCCTTCCCTCCCCTTCTGCCTCTATGTGCATACACATGCATATAATGTACAAACACTGCACATGCATGCACACATACATGCCGATCCCCAAAGGAGCAGGAGGAGGAGGAAGGAGGAAAGGATCAGAGTCTTGGACTTCCAGAGCTGGGAGGGATTTCAGAAATCAGCATGTTTGAGCTCCTGCTTGTGTGAAGGGGAAACCGAGGCCCAGGGAAGTAAAGGTTCAGCTGGAACTGGAGTTCCAGTTTTCTTTTTTTGGTCTTTTTTGTGTGTGTGAGAGAAAGCAGGATTTATTGAGAGGACAGAAAAGCTCTCACAGTGGGAGGGGACCCAAAGGCCCCGAGTTCCTGTTTTCTTAATAGCTCAATGCAATTTTCTTTCACCTAGCAGAGAAAGACGAGGGAAGAGAGGTGCAGCATCTCCTATTATCCTTGCAAAACAATCACCGCCTCATGTACTTCTACTCCCATCTACTGAGGTGTTGTGGTTCCCTTTTTTACAATGTAGGAAGCTATGACCCAGGAAGATACAACAGTTTATTCAAGGAACAGGGCATGGCCATTTATGAAAAGGCAGGATTAGAATTCACATCTTTTGTTGCCTGGTTCATACTTCCTGCCCTGTGTGGTGACAGAAGGTCAGGAACCTTCCCTCAGAAGGATGCAGTATGCCCTAGATCCAGGAAAAACTATCTGCCGGGACTCAGACACCTGGTTTCTAGTCCCAACTGTACCTGTCATGGAACTGCAGATGTCCTTGGGCAGGTAGCCTGGGTGTCCTCATCAGCATGACTTGTGCCCTGCCTGCCTCACAGCACCAGTGTGGCTAGAATGTGCTCCTGAGAGCCTCTGCAAACCCTAAGTTACCCCATGCTCTTGGGATTTGCACAGAGAAATCAGCACTGACCACCATCCAGTCAAGCATCCCAGACACCAGGCACATAATCCTTCCAAAGTAGCTGCATTTAGGACATTTCAGTCTTGTGAGTACCAGTCTGCATGCACCTGCTGCACATACAGGCTGGGGGTCCAGGCTGGAGGAGTAGTTAAAGGCCTGCCCCTGCTCCTGGCCCCACCCTATCCCCAGCATCCTATGTGGATCCCAGAACTGGGTGTGGGAGCCAGACCCTCTTCCCTCCACTTTTGGGAAAAGAAAAGTGAGAGTCAGGATCCTGGGCCTCTTCTTCCCAGTCCTCCTAGCCCAGAACATCAGGCACAGGCCACACCGAGTCCTGAGGAAAGGGCATTGATCTGGGAGGAAGCTTAGGGTAGTCACCAGCTGGGTAGGGATCAGTGGGAGCTAGCACTCATATTTAAAAGTGAATAAGAGTTCATCAGACAAACAAGAGGGTCAAGGGATGTGGGGCTAGCATTAGCAACATCAGGAAAATGTGAATGACCAGGTGCCTTACAGTCCCTGAGACTTGAGCTGTGTGCAGGGGCAGTGGGAGATGAGGCTGGAAGAGCTCTGGGAGTTAATCAGGGGGAGCAGAAGGAAAGGTGAGCTCAGGCCACCCAGAGTGCCACAGTGAGGGCTCTGGATCTGGTGCACACTTCCTGAGAAAGGAAGAGGAGTGTAGCAGGGAGAAGACTGCTGAGTCCTACACTCCCTCCTATGCTCCCCACCGGGAAGGATACTTGACTTGGCGCTTGGAGTTTTCCATGGTTTGAATGTCCTTGTCTCCTCCAAAAGGTATATATTGAAACTTCCTCACAACAGCAACAGTATTAAGAAGTGGGGTCTTTAGAAGGTGACTAGACTATGAGGCTATTCCCTCATGGTGAAGATCAGTATCTTATAAAAGGACTGAGGGAAATAGCTAGACTCTTTTGCCCTTTTGCTTTCTGCCATGTGAGGACACAGCAACAAGTGCCATCTTGGAGGTAGAGGCTGAGCTCTCAACAGACACTGAATCTGCTGGGTCTTGATCTTGGACTTCCATCTTCTAGAACTGTGAGAAATAAATTTCTGTTCTTTACAAATCACCCAGGTTCAGATTTTTTGTTACAGCAACAGGAATGAACTAAGACAGCATTCTACTGCCTGCATGCTGTCTCCCCAGTCACCTTTTCACAAGTACCTGAGGCAGAGCCTCAGCCCTTGCACATTTCACCAAATCCTAAACCAGCAGGTATAGGCTTACAGTAGTCATTTCTCAAATGCGTGTAAGACTCATATGTTAGCTAAATGGGGAACTTAGCAGCCCAGAACCCAGCAGAGGGCCAGAAAGGGAACAAAAAAGACTTCCAAACAACCAGGGTAGGTATTCTAAAGTCCATGCACAAAACCTAAACTTTTGACTTATCAATGATCCCTGTGACCCCCACTTGGGGCCTCTTTATTTTTGTTTTACCTGAAGATTTGTTATTTGAGTTCCAACTCACAAAAGATTTGAAGAGAGGTGGGCAAGGCTGCACAGGGACAGCAAGGAGAACAGCGGTTGATGGGTTGATGGTGTGTGAGATGTCATTAAAACCAGGGGCAGCAGAAAAGGAGATGCAAAAGATGGCCAAATTGGGACAAACAGACCCATGAAACAGGGCGGGTCAACTCTCAACCATGAAACAGGGCAGGTCAACTCTTGAGTAGCAGCCAAGAATTCATACACACGCTGATGACCCAGAGTCACCAAGGAAAGACTACTGAGCCATTGTGCATTTTTTTATTTAGAAGGTATGGATTATGAAATCCATGCAGGAGGAGCTTTACTTAAAACGGTTAAGTATTTCAGGCAGGTGTTGGTATTCAAGAATGATGCCTCAATTATCCAAAAAATCCTCTCAGGGAACTTCCAAGGAGGGTGTTCTCATGCTATCATTCCTACACGGAGTGAGGCCTATTGTACACCTGGACCTGTGTAAGGCATTGACATGAGTGCACGTGACCAGTCATTCATGCCTGGTGGGAAGACACATGATACACAGGACAGTTGCCTTCAGCACAAAGCATGGTGACATTTATCCACGTTGTCCTCTTAGCTGGAGAGCTCAGAGGAAGGAGCAACAAAGACTGGTTGGAGAGACTGAGAAAGTTTTATCAAGGTGGGGAGTGGCTTGAACTTTGCATAAAAAATGCAGAACTGTAAGATGTCAGTAAAAGGGAGTTTCCACTGAGGTGCCAAGACACAATACATATGAGATGAACAAAGCTAGAGGCCTCATATTTCCAGATTTCAAAACTTCTTACAAAGCTACAGTAATCTGAACAGCATGGTACTGACATAAAGATAGCCATATAAGCCAATGGAACAGAATAGAAAGTTCAGAAATAAAGCCTCACATATATGGTTAAATGATATTTTACAAGAATGCTGAAACCATTCCATGGGGAAAGGATAGTCTTTTCAAGAAATGTTACTGGTAGTACTAGAGAAACTAGATATCCACTTGCAAAAGAAAGAAGTTGGACCCTAACACTATACCCTTTACATAGATGAACTCTAAATGAATTAAAGACCTAAATGTAAGAGCTAAGTAGTTAAACCTCTTAAAATAGAATATAGGGAAAAATCTTTATAACATTAGATGTGGCAATGACTTCTTGGCTATGACACTAAAATCACAGGCAACACAAAAATAGATAAATTGGACTTCATCAAAATGAACAACTTTTGAGCATCAAAGGACACTATCAACAAGATGATGAGGCAACCATGGAATGGGATAAAATATTTACAAAAGACATATCTGATAAGGGATTAATATCAAGAGTGTATAAAGAACTCCAATAGGTTAACACAAAAAAATAACCCTATTAAAAAATGGGCAAAGAACTTGAATAGACAATTCTGCAAATAAGTTGTACAGATAACCAACAAACACATGAAAAGATTCTCAATATTACTAGTCATTAAAGAAATAAAAGTAAAAACTCCAATGAGTTACCACTTTATATTTATTAGGATGACTATCATAAAAAAAACAGAAAATAACAAGTGTTGGTGAGGGTGTAGAGAAATTAGAACCCTTGTACATTGCTGGTAGAAGTATAAAATGGTGCCACAACTATAGAAAACAGTATGACAGTTCCTCAAAAAAATTAAAGATAGAATCACTATGATCTAGCAACTCCACTTCTGGGTATATATCCAAAAGAATTGAAAGGAAACTCAAACAAATATTTACATATCCATCATCATAGCATTATTCACAAAGGCTGCGAGATGAAATGACCCAAATGTCCATCAACAAATGAATGGATCCACAAAATGTTGTGGGATGTCATTCTGTCTTAAAAGAATATAATTCTTACACATGCTACAACACAGTGGAAACTTGAGGACAGTATGCTAAATGAAAAAGGCCATTCACAAAAGGACAAATACTGTATGATTTTTTTTTCAGGTGAGGTATCTAGACTAGTCAAAATTAATGAGACAGAAAGCAGAATGGTGGTTGCCAGGAGCTAGAGTTAGTGTGTAATTAACACAGCTTCAGACTGACAAAATGAAGAGTTATGGAGCCAGATGGTGGTGATGGTTATCAACATAGTAGATGTATTTAAGACCACTGAGCTGTATACTTAAAAATGGTGCATTTTATATTATAGATTTTTAACCACAACAAAAAGCTATAGAAAAAAGACACAATACACATAAAAATTCCCAAATAGGGGGCAGATTTGTAAAGGATATACTAATAACTCAATTTACAGCTCTAAATACTCTATATGGGAGATTCAAAAGGATTTTGTAAGTATTTCTTTAGAAAAATATTTGTTGTATTTTCCCAAAAAGAGTGAGAGAGTGTGGAGTTCCTCGCACCTTGCCCGAAGGGTAGTTGCAGGTCCAGGAGCTTTGGCAGGAAAATTTGGATATCCTCTCAGTTGCGATTAGTTGGAAAACTTGGATTTTCTCTCATTTGGACCAGGGTCTGACTCAAGCCTGAAATACTTGAAAGCAAGAGCCTGGGCTTCCTTGCTGCTTCCACCATGGTGGTGGATTGGAGTTGTTGATTTGGGATTGGCCTGAACCCTGAGATTGGGCAAAGATTGTGGGGGTGTCTCTCTTAGCATGTGTGTATGTGAACTAGATAAAGACCACATATGGAAAAGACGTGTGAGGATGTTCTTCCATCCTGTCCAATTGGCTACCTAGGTAGTTGAGGGTGGATCTCAGTGGGCAGTGAACTGCTGGATGTGTTGAGGCTGTGAAAGGACTGAAGTGGTCGACGGACTAGGGGTGCAGTGCTGAGTAAGGGTCACGCAGAGAGGTTCCCCAGGCTGAGGGAATCCTACATACTCCAGAGAGCATCCACAGGGAAGAGTCAGCTTTATGCTTGGTCCAGTCCCATGAGCCAGATCCTTCTTAGGAGAGTCCTATGCAAGTCAGAACGTCCCTGCTCCCTAGAACTCCTCCTTTTCCTCGCACAACAACTTTCAGGGGTCATAGGCAGCAGTTTTCCAGTGGGGAGGAGGTCAATGGGAAACAAAACTAGCAGATCACATCCCCTTTTCCCAAGGCAGGCAGGCCCAGGCAGCCCTAGCTTGGGTTGGAACAGGCAGGGAGAGGAAGTCTTACCTTTGAAGATTGAACTGGTACTGGGCATTATACTTTCTGAATAATATCTGAATTGAGTCTTAAAGTTATAGCAGGGAGTTCTGTAGCTTTGTAACCAGAAAGCAAGGGAAGAATTATACCCCATCGAACACGTTGCTTAAGTCAGTTGCTTACGACTTTTAGAATCACAGGCTCTGAAACCTGCTTGTTCCATCTATAGGTTACAGTATATGGCCCCCACTTCTGGATCAGCAGTTTGCATCTCCCTTGGACTTTAGGCAGTGCCCTCCCTGAATATCCTAAAACCAGAGCTCTGCTTGGACTCCTGGAGCCCACTAATCCCTCCAGCCTCACAGGCTTGTCTTCCGAGGTCACCTTCCTGCATGTCAGCCCCTATGTATAGCTGGCCTCTCTTGCCTTCCTGCCCTCATGAAGCTGTGTTTGCCCTACCCTGCCCAACTTCCTGTTGCCCCACCCATCAGCTGATCCACAGGGCCCCAGATAAACAAATGGCTCACTATTCTCAAGTTCTCCATCGGCAGACTCTCCACCAACTCTCACAGTAGCCATGTTGTCCTGTGGGACCGTCTTCCTCAGCAGACTTATCCCATGGGGGATCCTCCCTCTCCCATGCTCCTCAGAGTTTGGGTCAGACTCTTCTTTGGGATTCCTTGCTCCTGAGCTGCATCATGTGGCATTCCTGGAAGTGCCACGCTCTCCGCCACTTCCAGGAATTTGTGTGCACTGTGTCTGCCACCACGGTCCTTCCCTGGAAGCCTTCTTGGACTTCTAGAACATCACAACCCATGTGTGCTACCCATTTACCTCTCCAGTGTGATTGGTGGTTTGGGGTGCATCTGCCTTTAGACATGAGCCCCTTTAAACATGAGGGCCTTCGTATCTTATTTGTGTTCATGTCCACGGTGACTGGAACAAAATCAGTGAATGGAGGTGGTTAGATTAGCATTTTCTAAAATCCCTTTTTGGGCCAGCACAGGGGATGGACGAAAAGGAGGCATTTGGTGCCATTGTTTAGGCATAGTTGGGCACCGAACTGATGGGGTGGAGAGGAGGGTCCTGGTTATTCTCACTGAACCGGAAGCATGCAGACCTATGTAGCTTCCTCTCCCCAGGGGTCCCACCCCACCTCTTCATGGTCCTTCCCCTCACTCAGTTCCCAGTGCCTACAAGTGCTTATTCACTGCACAGAACCCTGAGGGAAAAGTAGCCTTGGGTTTGTTTCAATCCCAAAGAGACTGACATCATCACCAGGATGGGTAGGGTAGGGAGCCTTTGGCTAAGGAAATGTAGCGATATCGTGAGCTCTGGAGCACTGGGCAATGTGTGCTGAAGGTACAGAGTGGTTCTCTGCTTGGTACCCTCAAGTTCATGCCATGAAATCAGAGTTTTCCAGATGCAAGGAAAGCCCCTTTCATGCTGCTGCCTGGGTGTTTCTCCTCCTCCTTCTGGCACTCCTCATCCCATGAAGACTCCTGGGCAGGCTCGATGTACCGCTGGCTGTCCTCCACCCTGGCTACCACAAGTTCTTCCTGAAAAACCGCTCTCAGCCAGTCTTCTTGCTGACAACTTCCTCTTCCAGAACAATGAGGAGCAAAGAAACTAATGTTTACCAGTTTATGCCAGAAGTATTGGGTGATCCCATCACAAATATAATCTCCCTTGCCATATTAACCGTGGGAATTGATTTTGCTATTCCCATTTTTAGGTGAGGAGACTAGGCTTACTGCCCAGCATCTATGGCTTGTTTGGGTTTTGAGTTTGGGCTTATCTGACTCTGAAACCTGTGCTGCACCATCGTCCCTTCCCTCCAGAGGAGAGATCATGGAAGTTACATCTCTCCTGCTTGTGGGGTAGACATTGGCTCTGTCTTGCCACTTGTCCCATGGGAGTAGGGTTGTACTGGGGAGTGGGGCCCCCACAGAGTTTGGGCCCGGGTTCCAGAAACCATGGCAGCCCCTCCCCTGCCAGCTGGTCTTCACTTACCCCTCCTTCCCTGGCTACTTCTGCCCTGTCCTTGTCCCTGCTTCCTCTAGTCCTCACTCTGCAGGGCTTGGTGATGCTATTTTCCCCACATGCCTATGCTCAACTCAGTTCAAATCCAAATGCAATTCTATTTGATTCATCCCAACCAGTCACTGGGCATATTTTATGCCAGGCCAACTGCACAACTCCAGGAAACACCATTCCACAAAAATACAATCCCTGTAGTGCCCCTGGCATTGGGAAAGCAGTACCTCTGCTCCCTGCATTGGGAAACAGAGGGAGAAACAAGGCTAGGCACTGGAGGAGGATAATGCACAGTTCTTGCAGGCCAGGGGGGGTACTTGCTGTTTGCATGGTGCCCTTCCTTCTCAGCCACCAGGGCCAAGGCTGGGGAGTGCTCCCGTGTCAGATCACATGTGGAGAGGAGGGAGACCCAGGTGGACAGGCAATTCCAAGAGGAAAGTATGGCTATGTAGGAAGGTATGAGTGAGAAAGATGATGGCAAAGATGTACGATGGAGAAAACAAAGGACGGCAAATAAAGGAGAGTTTACACTCTAGTCACCACAATAGTAGCCCTGCTATACCCGGTCAACCCCTACCTGTACAGCCTGACCTGGACAAAACCTTCTGGAGATCCAGTTCTCTCCCCCAGGCTCCTGAACAGCAGCTCCCCAGGTGTGGTGCAGCTTTGGTCGGGCCTCTGACAGCTGCTCTGACAGTGCCAGAAGTTGTGGAGGCTGTGGGTAAGCCCTGGCTCCACCCCCAAGTGAGGTGGCTGGAAAGGCCCTGAAATCTCACTCCAGTCCACTGGACCTTGGGCTCTGGGGACAACACATGTCTTTGCTACCAGATGTGGTCCTGGAGCAAAGAGAACTCGCTCTAGGCTCAGAGTGCTGCAGGTAACTAGGTCAGATGTGGAATAAAGACCACAGCGCAGAGTTGGAGGCTGTTGTTGCTACTGCTGGCAGCCCTGCTGCCACATACCCGGGCAAACAGGTTTCTCAAGACAGAAGGGTACAGACATGTAATTATAATGCACAGCCTGGTGATGATGGTTGATAATACTGCATTGTTTTTCTTAAATTTACTAAGAGAGTGGATCACAAGTGTTCTTATTATGCCAAACAAAATGGTAACCAAGTGAAATGACAGATGTGTTAATCAACTTGATGGTGATAATCTGCGGGGGCCAGCCCCTGCAAGTTTTGGGGAGTCCCTTGGAAGATGTGGTGGCGTCGGCGAATCTGTAGGGATAGATATTAAAAGAAAGAAAGATGGAAGGATAGATATAAAGAGGAAGAAAGAGAAAGAAAGAAAGTGGGCAACTGTTCAGTGAAATGAGCAGAAGCCGTTTATTGAAAGTTACAGCAGGTATTTATCCCCAAATTTTAGACAGGCAGTCTCACAAGTCTTTCACGTGAACACAAAGCCAGGTGCGGGGGGGCATCCCCCACCCACCAAATGCTTAGGTGTGAGGAGGACAAACCCCAAGATTGTCTCATTGTTCCCTTTGCTAGTTAATGTTCTTCAAAAGCAGTGTAACAATCCTTACTAGTCTAATGATGTTCTGATAATCAATAACTTCTAAAGCTCACTCAATACCCGTGACGACTAAATTAAACTCTACCACTTATACAATGCTACAGAAGCTCTTAATTATAGCTTAAGCCAATTTCCTAAAGAATGTGGCCCAGTCCAAAGACCACACTGGGCCCTACAGGATGTGGCCCAGTCCAAGGTCCACGGTGGGCCACCTTTTGGAACAATAGACTACAATCTCTTAACAAAATGGCTATTCCAAAGTCTTATATGTCTATCTAATTTCTATGAAAGTTTTCCAATTCTTAATTCTAATATATAAAGTTGATTAGCAGCAGCAAAGCTTCTAAAACCTAAATGTAAATTGTAAATGTACTAAGGCAAAAACTTCGATAGTAGAAAGTGGAGACAATGACATTTCTAAAGTTAACTATATTCTTATTAAACCTAAAAATATTATGATTGATTATGTATGAACTAACATGATTCGTAGCATGCCCTATTCTACAATACCTTCTATGAATAAAATAAATTCAATTTCTATAATAGGTAGAAAAGAGACCTTACACTAACTGTAGCTAAAGCCGACCCAAAAGAATGCAGCCCAGTCCAAAGTACATGCTGGGCTCTCAGGAATGTGGCCCAGCCCAAACTCTGTGCTGGGCCACTCTCGAAAATCATCTTCACCATTGAAAAGCTGCAAACAGCTCTCCCTAAGTATATACTAATTCTATAAATATTCTTTTAAATCTTATAAAGAAGCTTGTACCATATAAAAGGCTCCCAAATGTGACCTGAATTTGAATTATATCTAATACCTAGGCCGAAACCGCAGTTTATGGGAAACAGGAACAATGGGTTTCTAGAGTCAGCTATGCCTGTCACAGTCACAGAGTCTTCAGCTTAGGCCGGCAGAGTTCCTTTAGGTTGTTCTTGTGCTGCATGGCAAAAGGGGGAGGAAAATGGGGTCTACGGCTCTCGAACACGTCCTAGCGGTCTCGAGGTCCACGGCCCTTCCTGATCCCTAACGCTCAGTGGGCCTCCGTGGCCGGCTCCCAACAATAATCACTTCACAATGTATATGTATATCAAATCATGCTGTACACCTTCAGTACACACAATTTTTGTCACATATACCTCAATAAAGCCGAAAAAATAAAAATTAAAAAAAACATGCACCCTCAAAGACAGGAGAGCCGGGCTCGGTGGCTCAGCCTGTAATCCCGTGTCTTTGGGAGGCTGAGGTGAGTGGATTGCCTGAGCCCGCGGGTT